AAGTATCAGAACCCCAAAAGGAAAAATATTACCTGTATTTTAGTTTTTGGCCAAGCCAATGAACAACATTAAAAGAAGCTGTAATTGAACAGATAAACATCTCTAGTTCTTATTCTGCACCTCTTCGCTCTGTTTTCTGTACATATGCATATGTATATATACATTATATATGTGTGCGTGTGTATATATATATAAAAAAAAAAATTGTCATCATGAGCCTAAAAGACAAAATATACCCTTATTCTTCCTTATTTTGAAGGGTGCTTTTTAACCTTTTATCCATCCTGTTAGGTATAAAGTACTGGCTAAACACAACAAATGTGTTCTGAAGCCTTTTCCAAATTCCCATTTGTGGCTGGAAAAGAAATGATTGCTGCAGCTTACTGTGAGTTTGCCATGAAAAATTTCTGAAGCTACAGGGATGAATTTTACATAACTCTTCACTTTATTGTGGTGTAAGCAGATACTTTGTCACTATTATTCCAGACTTGTCCTGAGTGTTACACTGCATATTCCCAGGAGGTATCCTGGGACAAATTGTGTTACAGGAGTAGTATATGTGTAAGCAATATGAATAAGAAATATGTATAAGCAATAGTTATTGTTTTAAATGTAAATATAGTGAGCCAGTCCATTCGTAGGGTGATGTGTGTTACCCTGTGTATGTACACAAAACTCCTGTCTACTCCAGCTTAGCAAAAAAAGCTAGGTAAAGCTCATGAGATTTTGTTCTAGGTTTTTGGGGAGAAGGAAGGGGTTTTGTACCAATCAGCCTCCATCTATTCTGCAATCCCATAGTTGCTTTTCAGCCGCAGGTTCTAGCACTTCTTTTGTTGTTCAGTTCAGCCATTCTCCTGCAATCTGGAGCAATTCTGTTTTACTATTCGACATAATTAATTTTGCTTCCATTTGCTGTGTTTTGGATTATTCAGTCACCTCCTGCTGCAGTGGCTGGTAATTTTGACTCTCATGCAGTTAACAGCACAATGACCATAATAAGAGTGTTATACAACACTTTTTACCCATATGCATAAAACCTCTGACAAAAGTGATTAAATTTCATTGTTGCCATCTTTCTTCATGGAAAGCACGAAAAATTTAAGGGAACTCTCCTCTCACAGCAAATTAGCTACACACAGAGATGGTCTGCGACTTTGCCAAAATGCTTTTGAGTTTCTGTATTTTGCTGCCAACAGTTTGTGCCCATCTCAGCTGTTCAGTGACATGCAGGAACTGTGGTTTGCTTTTTCATCCCAGCACAGGAGATGAAATCCCAACTATGGACCATGACTCCTGGTTAAATATGAGTGTTTGACCTACGTTTTCTGTGAAGAATAACAGCATCTCAGGTTCTATGAGATGCTATTCAGTGTTGGAGGCTGAAGTGATATACACAGGCATTCTGCAGAAATTGCCTTCCAGGAAGGAAAGCAGTTACCCAGAAGTTTCCTTAGCCATTCTCCAGAAGTTTCCTTAACCAGAAGCTAGCACTGATCTAAAAGTAATATCATTGCAATAGTCTTCTACACACTTTTCTCTGTGAATTTGTCCAGTGTAAACTTCTAGCATCCACAAAATGTCTGGAGGCAAAAAAATATGCAGTTTGATTACACGCTGAGTAAAGAAATACTGCCTTTTGTTCTGATGTCCTGGATTCATCTAATTCCCTTCAGCACTCTCCTATCTGGTCTACCAGCCAATGCATTAAATATATGACTGATTTTAAGGGTACAGATTAATTCAAGGTACAAAAATCAGAGATTCTTACAAAGAATTTCATTTTTGCTTACCCAGGTGTTTAGTTTCATTCTTTCTGGAGCCAAATTTGGACTGAAATGCATGCTTTTCATTGGAAATACAGTTACTAAAGCTTAGAAGTGCTGGGGTCCAAAAATTCGTTTCGCTCAGTCATCTGCACTTCTAAATATATGCTAATTGCTATTCTTTGTGTATTAAATGAGAGAAAATAGAACAAATTAGAGAAATATTACCTTCTGCAGATAGAGTATTTCTGAGGATAAGATTGTTTTAAAGGTATAGCACCATTAACAGAATTGGCTTTTTAATCCTTGTTTGCATCTTGGCACAGTCACAGAGCACATTTCCTATGTTTTGTACATTTACTCAAAACAGAACGAGCATACGCTTTTTTTTCTTTTTGTACAAATTACTGGCTCGGTAGGCTGTGTAGGTGTTTTTCAAATGCACACACTATGCTTACTTAAAAGTGATTGCATTTTGAGATAAGATATATATTATGCCCTTCCTATCAAGGTACAGTCATGTGTTACAAGCTGCCATTCTACAAATTTCCAGAGTGACATTTTATTATTGCAGATCATTTTAGGAAATTTCCTGATAAAGTAAAATGTCTCCTCATATAACTGCCTTTTCAGCTAGAAGCATAACAGAGTGCCTTGGGACACTAAAGACTAAAAGGATTAGCCATTAGGAGGGCTCTCATATCACCTTTATCTTTAAAGACATCCTGACAGTTTGCCTGGGCAGTAATTCTGGGCAGCATTACTTTGATCTGTTGGTGGCTGTGGCACCTGCAGTACCAGGGCTGACAGCAGGCGACACCTACTTACCTCACACCATGGGTATTTCTGTCATTTCTGTCATTGATTTGTCATTTATGCCATGACATTTACTGTTGCTTTTGCTTCTGCTAATTTTTTGGTTGTAGTTCTGTTGCCTAGTTCACATCAATAGCAGAAGGTGTTCCAGGGGGAATCAGTCACGGGAAGTGTTCGGGTAGCTCAAAGGAAGAAGAGAGGCTATTCATCATTCAATAATGCTGAAAAGGTGGTTGTTGTAGAAACCTCTTCCAGGTCTAGCAAATATCAAGAATCAGATTGTACCCACTGCAGTGCCATAGATCAGATTGGAGATGCTCCCACGCAGAGGAGCCTGGAGGCCTGGCACTCCTTTCTGGAGACACCGGAGATTTCCTGGCCGTCTGCCTGATGGGGGGAGCAGCCATTACCATCACCGTCCCTCTGTGTAGAGGCTGCTGCACAGTCGCGATCGCCCCACGCATATTCACAGGGACCGCTTCTTCCGTCAGGGCACCCTCCCTGGTGCTTTTCTCCAGGTCTTGTGCTCACAGCTCATTTCAGCCTGTATCAGAAAGATGGCTCTGGCAACTCAGAGGATGAAGTAGCAAGGGATAAATAGTGACTGACTATGTTTTAGCTTGGGCTGGCAGCAAAAGTCTGGGGCTGTACAGAGTGCAACTGTACCACTTGAAGAAGATCAGACTTGTTCTTCCCTGGGGCATTAAAGACCCAGGAAATGAGATGTGCTTCGCTGGAGCTCCGAGCTCAATTGCAGGTTGATGGCAATGATGTCCTAAGCTATTGCAAAGTGTGAACGAGAGCAGGAGGCACAGAATTTGATCGTAGCTTTGTAAAGGGGCTGAGTCGTAATTTAACCAAGTTCAATTCATTTGTACAGCAGAGGTGCCTTTTAAAATAAAGATGCTCCAGCCACAAAGTGCTTTATTAGTTCCCTCTGAAATGTTTGTTGCTTTGGATTTCAAGCCACTTACAGTCCATCTAGTAGGGGCGGTGCAAACTTACTGAAATAAATGGTTTATCTCCCCAGAGCTGAGGTCTTGTTGTGTGGGTTTTGTGAATTACTTAGCATTTCTGTGGGTTTCCCACTGGTAAAATGAGCTAATGTGTCCATCTCGTTCTGCCATGCTCTTTGTGAAGGGCTCCTGGGCTTCACTGGAACAATTTGTAATAATTTGCTCTGGTTCAGTTCATCTCAGGTTTCTGCATGTAAGGTATCCTGGGTCTCTCTTGGCTGGGTTATTTGTTTCAAAATATGCTTTCTGAGACTAATGTTTCTCCATTTCCATTCGAGATCAGTAGCATGGAGCTGCATCATTCTTAATACAACATTGACTCTGCAGAGTGATGTTTCTGATCCTTGGAGTGAACTTCAAGACTGCTTTAGATATCCCTATTCTGAATGAAGACACAAGAATATCTCATTATTCAACTATTATGAAGTCTCTCATGTTTTTAGCTGCTATAGATACTGTTGATAAGTGTGTTAGAAGCCCAGAGCTTGGCAGGACATGTTATTGATCTCACACAATCCATTCCGGGCATTAACATGGGAGTATCATTTACAAATCAATTTTCTCTGAGCTTTAATTTAAATACCAGTGCCCCTTGAGGATCTTTCTGGGTCACTTTTATTCTCAAGCTGTACTTCCGCTTGAGTAAACTGATTAATAAATGCAGGCACCCAAATTAGCTGCGTGCCAGCTGCTGTCAGATGTAGCTATCTGGTCTGTTCACTTTGCTGGCATACTTGTATCTGTAAAGAATAATACTCAGCTCTGTCTACCTTCAAAACATTTTTCAAATTTCAGCCACTCAATCCCAGCTGCTCTGTGAGGAGGCAAATATTCCTCTGTTATTAAGGCATATATTGCCTGGGAAGAATATTTAAGTTGAAGTAGTGTCATTTAGCTAGTTGTTAGACTGTGCAGAAAAACTGTCTGCTACCTGTCTCCTCAGCAGACAGAAACTGAGAAGTATGCATCAAGAAAGCTTTAGAAAGGATCTGAGCGAAGTCAATGTCACACAGCCTTGTGCAATCCATCAAAAGAATGTGATGAGGCAATTATAAATTAATGTAATATTTGATTTTGTAAAGATATGGGGGAACGGTTAAGAGAGAGGAACAGAGCTAGAATGGTCACTTGGAGGCACTGCCAAATTAATATTGCTTTGCCTTTAGCTAGTTGTCACAGCAAACAGATGTGTGGGAACTGGCTACAGGTTTATGGAGTGTCCAGAGCTAGGGACTGCCTGGAGAGAGGCCCCACGAAAGAGTTCTTTGTCCACTCCTCATGCACATGCCCCTTACTGGTATCATAGAGTTAAAATATCCCAGTGGTTTCTCAGAAATGATGGCCTAGCTTCCCAAATTATTTCCTTTTCTTTTTTCCTTTCATTTCTTTTCTCTCTATGTTTCAGATTATGCTTGGCCTTTGCCTAAACAGTTGTGCCCTATATGGATTTCCCTAGATGTGCTCTTTTCAACTGCATCTATTATGCATCTCTGTGCCATCTCTCTTGATCGGTATGTAGCAATACGCAATCCCATTGAGCACAGCCGCTTCAATTCCCGCACCAAGGCTATTATGAAAATTGCTGCAGTTTGGACCATATCCATAGGTAAGCAATGTGGCTCACTATCTTAACTGTGTCTTAATGAATAATAGTGTTACTCCAATTTTCATTTAGGATTTTTAAAAGGATACTCAAATTAATTTACCTGGCCTGCATGTTTGAATATAATAAATGATTACTGAGAAACAGAAATCTTTCATTGTGGTTGGTCAGTGACCAAAATAAGTAGTCATTTTTCAGAATACCACCACTTCCAATGCTGAAGCATTGCTGCTGTGTACATATCAATATGCCAATAATAACGGTAACACAGACAAATGGTACTATAAAACTGCTGTGTAAACAAAGCAGAAAATAGCATTAGCAAAGACTCTGGAAGGAAAACCCAGCCAGTACAAATGACGCGTCTACACTGCAGTTGCTGCAGTTAAACTCACTCAAATTCTGGTAGCGGTTTACGTGAAGCAGCGCAGAATTGAAGGCAGGCTACCAGCGAGGTATTTACTGCTCTTGTGCAGGCTTTGTAGCCCGTATTATACTCTGCCACATTTGGATTTTGCTGCTAGTACTGAGACACTTTTTTATCACTTTGATAAAAAGCAATAAATAAAGCAGCAATAAAATAAGGAAAAATGGAAATATGATAGCAAGATGACTGTAATATCAGGAATTATGTGAAGAAAAACATTTTGGGGGGACTTCTTTCAATGTGCTTTATAAAAGAGACATTTGGGGCAGGGTCAGAAGAATTGCACTTCCCTCTGCTGTATTGCCTATTTTGCTTGAATAAGTCTTACAAAGATTTAACATTTAACTTTTCTGTTGTAAAGCAGTTGTCAGTTTCAGTGCTGTACTGCAAGGAAAAGCATGTTTCAGGTGCTTGAAATTCTCTTGGGTTTTGCCTCCTTTAGAAGTGGAATATGATACTGGATGTCTAGGTGCTGCAGGGGCCACTTTCGAAGAAGCTTGCCATGGAAAAAGGCTATGGAAAAAAGCAAAAAAAAAAGGGGAGGGGGGAAGATACCTTCTCTTCTCATGAATATAACAAGAATATCTGTTAGAAAGCACTTTTCACGTGCTACAGGCCTGCTACGGTTCCTCTAGGTAATACAATCCACAGTGAAATTGGATTGGGCTTAATCAATTCATTTAAGATTTTTTTTTAAATTATTATTTTAAATTCTCTGTGCTGCTTGTTTGGCATAAAAGAAAGCAAGCTACTGAATTCAGTGCATAAGCAGTCACATGTAAACAACTTCATGTGCAAGATGCCTAGGCTCGATTTGCACAGGCAGTTCAGAGTCAGCACAGAATCTGTGCCCTGTGTTGCACTGTAAGACAGAGGGAGCAGCTGGTATCCCCCCCCCACCCCAGCAGAGCCATATATTTCTGTCAGCAGCATTAAGTAGCACATTGCAAAACCTGGGCAATAAGACTGGTCTGCTTCCATTTCTGGAGCTAACTTGCAGATTTTTGCCTGTGCTGCTTTACATATTGCAGACATATCCTTAGAAATTTTGGCTAGTGCTTAATGAATGTGCTGGCCAGCTTTCTTAGGTGATGTTTAACAAGTCTGCATTTACAATAGGATGCAAAACAGGTGAAATAATGAACACTAAAATAAATAGCTTAGAAAGGAGATGGAATGGCACTTTTCTCTTTCAGGCACATGGCTTGTCAGCCCTCAATAAGACAATGAGCGCTGCATTTATTCCCCAGCATCCAAAAGTCCTTAGGAAGAAGCTGTGAGCAGTCGCTCAGTGGGATGTCTGCAGTGCACAGTGCTTTGGGGACAGCGCAGGGCAGCACTTCCCTCCCCAGGCTGGGAAGGGAGATGCACTACAGCTGTACCTGCATGCCCTCCTTTGCTAGGATCATAGCCCAGAGGGTGTACAGCATGTCAGGGCTTCATTTATGTTTCGTTCATTCTCTTTGATGCAGATACAGCTGGCCCAGGGGAGTCTTTGCTTGCATCCCTTTTTTTGAAGAAACAGGCAGAGTCGATACTCCCCAGAGGGTCTGTTCAGGGCACTGCAATGCTGTCAGATTTCCACCCTCCCCAGTGCCTGTGGTAGGGCTTACCCATTTTCTTGGGCTTTCTCCAGAAGGTTGCATTAAATGGAGAAAGAAAAGTACTCTTGATTACTTTAGCATAACTATTTTTACTTCATAAATGAATTTAGAAATGTGACAGACACAGGAATACACTGAACATGGAATGAAAGAGAACTCACTAAAGTTGCTGTCTTCTGGCTTTTACCTACTTGTCACTTGGAAAGGCCATGTTTACGTGATTAAGTATCACAGCAGCACTTAAGTGCAGGCTGGTCAGTTTGCCTTTCCTAAATCCTGCTTCAGTTGGACTGAAGAAACTTTTAAATGCACCCCATGTAAAGAATCCTGAATTCAGTTCCTGAATCAGAATTTTAAATAATAAGTAAAAAGCATGTAATCTATCTTAATTAGTAGCATTCCATTTTCCTGAAATGTTAATGCTGACAGCAAAATATATAATAGAGGTTCTTTGCTCATTGAGCTATTAATTTGGCGGGTTGCAGAAGCCTAAACCTACAATTGGGTTTTTAAGTAGGGGAACATAACAGAGTCCTCCTGTCTGCTGACAATTGCTTTATTTCCAGATAGGCTTTTCCAAAGCCTTCTTTGTTCCAGATTAAAATACGCCACAGCCAGTTGTCCTGTGTTTTAGCAAATGTAACCTGAGCAAGATTTTTTGTGTTCACTTAGAGAAAAAATGGGTGCTGTGAGTGCTGGGCTTGTAAAAATTAGTTTTGTGATAGATAGCACTGCGCTGAGGCTGGAAATAGAAAGGTAGGCAACAGAAATATCCACACAATTGAAAATGAAAATAAATTATAGATGTGAGCTTACTGGCAGAATCTTGATGCTGTTTCAAGACATCAGACTGCACAGTTGCAAGTGCAAAGGTTTTCACAGATAACGTGGACTTACTGGACTCCTTGTATCCTGCTCTGAGGAAGGTGGCCTTGGGCCACCCTGGCCGAGAGGGGAGATCCCCATGCAGCTCTCAGAAAGAGTGGTGAAAGGTAGTCAAAGTCTTAAATGCACATTGTATAATACAGGAGAAAGTGTTAACTGGTTAATATTAATATAAAAGAAATATCACTTTGGAAATGTTCCAACCCCCAATGGCAGGGCAGTTGGAACTAGATGATCTTTAAGGTCCCTTCCAACCCAAACCATTCCATGATTCTATCATTCTATGCGAATGAAAGAACTTCAGTGATGTGGATGGGTGCACACACATTGCTTCTGATATGAAAATAAGACATTTTAACTCTGAAGCTTCTCGTGGCCCAGCTGCGTGCCTGCTAGTGCAAAAGGGGTTTTCCACTGCTTCCCAGAATGTTCATGGTTCAGTCATTTACTAGAGAGCACCAAAATTGCACATGCTACCAATTTCCCAGCTCACAGTTTGACATTCTTAGTAACTATAAATTCAATTTACTTGATAAGTGACTGAGAGAAGGCGATCTTTTAAATTCTGCTCTTTGTATCAGTGCCATAAGCAGGCCCCACATGTCTTTTGTTTCTTCATTTGTTTGAAAACAGAATAAGTAACAGAAAAAAGGAAATGCGCTATTGAATTATGGTAATACCATGATATGTGTTGTGTTAAAATTGGACTTTTTTTTCTTTACATTCTCTCTCTGACTCACTAATGATATTATAATTTTGATTTCAGGTAGATATCCGGAGTTTGTATATAGAATAAACCATTCAACTTTAAAAAGGAATTTTACATCTCCATTTAACTTTCATACTACTTCATTGGTTTATTCAGGAGATCTATTTATAGAAGTATGAAAGACATGTTTTGCAAGGATCAGTAAGTGCTCATCTCAGATTAAGTGATCTTATGTCTAACAGCTTTTTGCTTCTGCCCTGAGTGTTCCTCTTTCACACAGGCTGAGTAGCCCCATGCATCCACGCTGCCCTGATGATGTCCTTAAAGAGCCTCCAGATATCAATTAAGCCTTCCCCTATCTCACTGGGGATAATCCCAGTGGGAAATGATACACAGTTTGAGGAACGTGCTTGGAGCGGCACCACTGATATTAAAAGGAATTGTAGTCTCCTTACAGGCTAAGAGCAGGTTGTGCATGGGAGTAAAGAGGGACTGGAGTAATTCACATAGTCGCCCTCGGGTCATAGTTTTAGAGCATGTTTAGGGTTTTGGTTTGCATTTCTGCCCATAGGTGTGTCTCTGGGATCAGTGACTTTCACAGCAAGGCATGTATTTGTTCCCATGGCACACTTGCTGATGAGACACGCTTGCTCCTGAGCACCCTCTGTTCTGTGCTGGGCAGTAGTTGCTCCTGAGAGACTGTGGTTTGGGATAGCAGCACACACACTCATGAATTTCTTTGCAGGCTTCAGGCCCTGGTTAGCAAACAAATCCTTGGATACGTTTCGTGGAAAAAAATGGCAAAACCACTGCTAATGGAGAAGACAACAAATGGGTGGTCAAAATGGTTACCAGGTTTTTGCTCAAACCTTTCCCACCAAGCAGGCTGGTTCTGTTCATGGCTAATCACTTGGAGACAAGGAAGAAGTGTTAAGACTATTATTTCTGGCAAAGGTTACATAGGCACCCTTCACCTCCTGGAAAAGCGTACAAATTCCTGACTACAGGCACAGCTTTGGTAGAAGGACAGTAACACTACTGCTGAGGAAAACGGTTGCACGTTAGTAAAGCCTAAGAGAGGGTAGCATTAGTTTCTCTCCAGATTTGAGAGAAAATTGTACTAATGTATTTTTGACTTTTTATGTTTGACATAAAATGTCTGACAGTGTATGTTTGACTGAAGTTCTTCCCTCATGAGCATGAGGATTGTGGTCAATGATTTCTGTAGGCAGAGGTACTGCAGTGGTGGCAATCCTAATAGTTTTTGTTAGCATCAAGTGAATCCAGAGGTGCTGTTAGCATTGCAAGCCTGGCTACTACTTCTGGTGGAGTGGTAGAGCAGGTTTGTGCTCATAAAACTTTTTCAGGCCTACCTTCT